GGAAGTGTCCAGGAAGTGTCCAGGAAGTGTCGAGGAAGTGTCTAGAGGAAGTGTCTAGGAAGCGCCGAGGTTCGAGAGCACCATCGGGTGTCTAGGAAGTGTCGAGGAAGTGTCGAGAGGAAGTGTCTAGGAAGCGCCGAGGTTCGAGAGCACGTCCACCATAGGGTCGGAGAAGAGGAGGACGAGCCCTGTCCCCACCGCCATCAGGAGGGCGGCGCGCCTAGTCACTTCCTAGTCACTTCCTAGACACTTCCTAGACACTTCCTAGACACCTCCTTGACCTCAGGAGTGTGGCGCGCCGCTTGATGACGCGCTGCTGCTGGTGCCAGTCGAGGTGCGCGACGTCCTCCGGCACCTGATCTCGGGTGATCTCGGGTGATCTCGGGTGATCTCGGGTGATCTAGGGTGATCTCAGGTGATCTAGCGTGATCTAGCGTGATCTCGGGTGATCTCGGCTGATCTCGGCACCTCGACCTCGCCCCCCCCCTCCCCCTCGGCCCCGACAGCAGTGTCCTCCTCGAGACCGCCGCCCGCCGCCCGCAGAGTCTCCTACGGGGAGATACGGGGAGATATGAGGAGATACACGGGGGCACTACGGGGAGACGCGGGATATTAGGGGGAGATGACGGGGAGATGACGGGGAGATGACGGGGAGATGATGGGGAGATCTATTGCAGCGTCTCCTCCTCCAACCGCTCCGACTCGACCGTCCTGTGGGGCAGGTGCGGGGAGATATGGGGAGATGCGGGCAGATGCGGGGAGATGATGGGGAGATGCGGGGAGATGATGGGAGATGATGGGGAGATGCGGGGAGATGATGGGAGATGATGGGGAGATGCGGGGAGATGATGGGAGATAAGCGGAGGTCTCTCCTGATCGACTCGTCCTGCACGTACTGCAGCATCAAGTGTCTAGGAAGTGTCTAGGAAGTGTCTAGGAAGTGTCTCCTGGTCGACTCGTCCTGCACGTACTGCAGCATCGCGTCCAGAAACTCGTCCTGAGAGAGCTCGACAATCCACGGATGAACGGACGAACTCAGCACTGCAGCACCACGTCCAGGAGCTCGGCCTGACTGATGGCGCCGGAGCCGTCCGGGTCGAGCCGCCGCATCCACTCGTTTGCCTGCGGTGCTCACTTAGTTAACGGCTGGTTAATCAGTTCATTAGGTCGAGCCGCCGCATCCACTCGTTTGCCTGCGGTGCTCACTTAGTTAACGGTTGGTTAATCAGTTCATTTTAGGTCGAGCCGCCGCATCCACTCGTTTGCCTGCGGTGCTCACTTAGTTAACGGTTGGTTAATCAGTTCATTAGGTCGAGCCGCCGCATCCACTCGTTTGCCTGCGGTGCTCACTTAGTTAACGGTCGCTTAATCAGTTCATTTTAGGTCGAGCCGCCGCATCCACTCGTTTGCCTGCGGTGCTCACTTAGTTAACGGTTGGTTAATCAGTTCATTTTAGGTCGAGCCGCCGCATCCACTCGTTTGCCTGCGGTGCTCACTTAGTTAACGGTTGGTTAATCAGTTCATTTTAGGTCGAGCCGCCGCATCCACTCGTTTGCCTGCGGTGCTCACTTAGTTAACGGTTGGTTAATCAGTTCATTTTAGGTCGAGCCGCCGCATCCACTCGTTTGCCTGCGGTGCTCACTTAGTTAACGGTTGGTTAATCAGTTCATTTTAGGTCGAGCCGCCGCATCCACTCGTTTGCCTGCGGTGCTCACTTAGTTAACGGTTGGTTAATCAGTTCATTTTAGGTCGAGCCGCCGCATCCACTCGCTTGCCTGCTTTGCGCTCACTTGCTCGCCCAAGTCGGCGAGCAGGTGGGAGAGCTCGAGAGGCGAGAGGGTGCCGTTGCCGTCGCGGTCGTACCTAACGGCGGGAGATTGAGCGAGACTGCGGGTGGGGAGGGGGTACGGGGGGTACGGGCAAGTCATGCCGCGGGCCGCACTTGTGGAAGAAGGGGTCGAAGAGGCGGCGGAGGCGGTGCCGGTCCTCCTCGAGCAGCATCTCCTACGCGGAGGTGCGGGGAGAGTGTGGCGAGAGTGTGGCGAGATCGGCAGTCTTCCTCGCGCGGCGTCTCCGAGAGGCCGCGGCTCGACTCGTCCTGCCGCGCGAGGCTGGCCTGCCCGCTCCCCCTCATCCGCATTGTTACTGCGACGATTCTTAGAGGCAGCCGAGAGGCAGCCGAGAGACAGCCGAGAGACAGCCGAGAGGCAGCCGAGAGGCAGCCGAGAGGCAGCCGAGAGGCAGCCGAGAGGCAGCCGAGAGGCAGCCGAGAGGCAGCCGAGAGGCAGCCGAGAGGCAGCCGAGAGGCAGCCGAGAGGCAGCCGAGAGGCAGCCGAGAGGCAGCCGAGCGGTAGCCGAGAGGCAGCCGAGAGGCAGCCGAGAGGCAGCCGAGAGGCAGCCGAGAGGCAGCCGAGAGGCAGCCGCGAGGGAGCCGAGAGGCAGCCGAGAGGGAGCCGAGAGGGAGCCGAGAGGCAGCCGAGAGGCAGCCGAGAGGCAGCCGCGCGAGGCTCGCCTGCCGCATGTTGTCCTTCACATTCTCGAGGATCGGCGCCAGAAGGCCGGGCAGCGTGAGTCCGCGCGCGCCCGCCTTGCCGCCGGTCAGCGCCTTGACTATCGCGCGGTCCACCAGCGCCTCCGTCTTGGACTCGTTCTGCCCCTGCCGCACCATGAGCACGAGGTAGCCGCAGAAGAAGGCGAGCGAGAGGACGAGGCCGCACAGCGCCCAGTAGTGCTCCTGCGACGAGATGGAGCCACGAGGTGGCCGGGAGGTGGCCGGGAGGTGGCCGGGAGATGGCCGGGAGATGGCCGGGAGATGGCCGGGAGATGGCCGAGATCTCGGATACTCTGGCCGATCTCCGGCCGAGATCCGGCCGAGATCCGGCCGAGATCCGGCCGAGATCCGGCCGAGAGATGGCCGAGATCCGGTC